AAACTCCCTCTTTCCTGTTTATTCCGTCAGTATCCCTGCCATCTAACTTGGCCCAAGTGATAGACTCTGAGGTTCATCTTTAGTCCTCAGATGCAGCAAAGGCTCTTAGCCAGGGAAGCCACTGGTTTGGGTCCTACTGGGTCAACCCATTCTGCAGACAGGCCCAGAACAGAGGCATTCTACAACTGCTCAGCCTAATGGGAATTCAGTATAGTCCTATTAGTGGGCAAGTGATAGCCCAGAGAATGTCAGTAATCCTTAGAAGTCCTGAATCTTCCCCTAGCCACATGTCCCAGAATCCCCCAGCTCCATTAGCACCCCACCCCAGTCACTTTTCTGTTATTTTTGAGGGGACACTTCACTCCACACCCCATCCAGATTTATGCTGCAGTGGCGGTGTTCCACCTTGGAGAAGTGTGATGCAAAGCAAGACCACAGGTTTGGAGCCAACCATGTTTTAGCCCAGTTCTCAGTCTGCCAAGAGCTCCTCAAGCCTGGAAACCTCAATTTCCTCCCTTCAAAGGGAATTTGATAACACTTACTCTATAAGGTTATGGCATGGATTAAGATGGCTTATGGAACTTCCTAACATGCTGGGCACATGTTCAATGCACTTAATAAATGTTTCCTCCACTTCTCCTGGACAGAAAAGTCACGGGCCAGAACTTAAAATCAGTCAGGCAATGAGTGGCCTACTTCTTTCAGTATGCTCTTCAAGCCCCTAAGAATTACTGTAGGAGAAGACATACTGTCTCAACCCCAGAGAAATTCCCAAATGGTGAGGAAAACATAAAACATGTGATCGCTTGGCAACTCAAGATGGTGCCGTCAGCATCACCCTGAGACCCAACAGGCACTGAGCGGTCACTGCAGTTTCTCTTTGCCTGGAACACCTGGCTACAAACAGTCTCTTTACTTTTAGTATTTTATGATTTTTTTAAAAAATCATTTTTGTTCTCCGAGGATTTTATATAATATATTTTGATCATATTCACACCCCTTCACCAACTCCTTCCAGGTCTACACCCCTCTTCCCTACACACCCAAATTGTCTGATTTGGGCTGCTCCTATGCGGCCATCCACTGGAGTGTGGCCAACCTCGAAGGGACCAAATACTTAAAAATAAAAGGGCTTCCTGTCCCTCATTAGCTATCAGTTGCCAATAATTCCTCAGTTAGGGGTGGGACTATGTGCCCACCTTTGGCCCCTATGCTGAGATTTTTGTCGGGCTGAGCTTGAACAGGTCTTGTACATGTGGTCACAAGCTCTGTGAGTTTTTATGTACATCTGCCCGGTTGTGTCTGGGGAACACTGTTTCTTTGTAGTCCTCTACCACCTCAGGCTCTTCCAATCTTTTATCCCCTCCTCTGTGACGATCTCTGGACCTTGGGAGAAGGCTATATAGATAGCTCACTTAGGATTCAATATTCTACTTGAAGTCCTAGCTGGAACAGTAAGACAAGTGAAGGAGACAAAGGGGATACACACAGGAAAGGAAGAAGTCAGAGCATCCTTGTCTGCAGATGTTGTGGTCCATACATGAAAACTTGGAAGGAGCAGTGCTCCTTTTGTCAAGAACTCTGCAGAGTTTTGTTCTTTGAGAATTTTAGACAGTGTAATTTGATCAGATTCACACTCCCTCATCCAGCTCCTCCCAGACCAATACCCCTCTTCCCTACACACCCAACGTTGAGTCCTCTTTTTTTAAGCACCAAGTCTAATTTGGGCTGCTCCTATGGGGCCATCCTCTGGTATGTGGCCAACCTCCCAGGGGCCAAATACTTAAAAATAAAAGGACTTCCCCTCTCTCATCAGCTATCAGTTGCCAATAATTCCTCAGTTGGGGTGGGACTTTCAACACAAAAATGTAAGTCAAAGGATGTCTGTTGCAGGCAGAGCTGCCCTTTGTAAAACAGGCTGCTGAGCACAAAATGTGATCCTAGAATGGAAGAGACATAGGGTATTATATAGAATTCTTTCCCAAGTGATTCCTAGCTAAAATCCAGGACCTTTTTGTTAGTTGCAAGAAGGACAGAAGCTGATAACAACTTCATGACAGGTTTCACGAGACTCTGGGGGTAAGAAGAGCACAGCTGCCCAGGGACATAGGTGACAAGGCACCTGCTGAAATGCCAGCATCTCTGACCACTGTGGTGACCATGTCTTTTCTTCCTAACACATTTTGTGAGGAAGAATTGCTGGCACACAGCACAACTGTTGATGGCAGAGCAACTAAACACACAGGCACAACACTAGACCTCTTGGTCTGGGTCCAGTGGCCCAGTGGCCCAGGTCTTGGTTTCCTTGACTGCAAAATGAAGCCAGTGAGAGTAGAGGGGAGCTATGGAGCACACACAGAGCACTTAGGGCAGGGCTGGCAAGAGTTCCATTCTACGTAAGTGTCAATTGTTATTTTGCAGCCAACTAAAAAAGTCATGAGCTATATTTGCTTTTCAGTGTATTCTCCAGGGTTTGCTAGGTATTCGATTGTATCATCAATGAATAACATCAGTGAATAACAATGGATTTGGCAGTTATTTTTCCCGTAATCCCACTTCCTATTTTTGCTTCCTGCTGTATCCCATTGGCTATAAGATAGGCTCAGTGGAAAGGAAATAACCAAACTGAATTTTCTAACAGCTTGGAGAGGATGGATTCGAGGTGAAAGGCTGTCAAGAAGCAGCATGGTGTAGCTAAAAGGGAAATAACCAAACTGAATTTTCTAACAGCTTGGAGAGGATGGATTCGAGGTAAAAGGCTGTCAAGAAGCAGCATGGTGTAGCTGGGATGTGAGGTGCAAGATGTGAGGGTGCCTTGGCTGTGGATAAGAGCCTAGAAAACAGAAATGAGGGGCTCCAGGGAAGAGACACCATGCAGTCAGAGGAGAATGGATGTGGCAATCATAATCATAGAGATAAACCAGGAACACAACCAGCAAGCCAGATTCATTCAAAATTTCAACTGATTTATTCAACTGAAAAGGAGAAAAAGAAAGGCAAGTGTTCATGGTTAGTTTAGAAACAATAGAATCAATTGCAAGTATCTTATCAACTAACAATGTGACTATTTCCAAAGTATTTTACAACTGGTTAATGCTTGCACAGTGTTTTTATAGTTTACAAAACAGCTTCTTGTATTTGACCTTGTTTAGTCCTCACCAAATCTCTGTGAGGATGTCCCTCAAACTTTGGATGTAGGAAACTATAACATAAAAGTAAAAGCATAGGGAGTCTGACCACTGGCCTTGAAAGCTTCCCACGGTACCCGTCCCGTGGCCATTGGCAAGATCTGTCACCTCTCTGCGTCTGGTTCTGTAGGGCTCAGATAGATTCTGCTTTGGGCCTGTTTTCTTCAGCCACACTACTGAGACATGTGCAGGGAAAGAAAAACAAGGAATAAACAGAAGACAGAGGTCAAGAAGCTACAATGGGTGGGGCGACAGAGTTCTCAAGCAGCCATGGGCCCACAGGGAGTCAGTCTGTGGCTCTGAGGAGCATTCTGATGGGATGTCTGTGAGGAGGAATGGGTGTGGCAAGGAGGAGAAGTCACGGTGAACATCCATATAGGGTGGACTCCGAAACAGGCCTGGCCATGGCAAGGATTGGAGCAGCCCTTTGGCTACAGTGGAAAATCCCAACCAGAGGCAAGAATTCCATTCAACAAATATTTATGGCGCCTATTCAGTGCAGAACCACTGGGTCCAGTTCTGTAGTGGTGCTATGATGCTACTGACGAAGGGAACTTGGGACTAGTGACATAGACAAGGAAGACCTGCAGGAGCCAGGCTGGCTTCTAAGGACCTGGTCTCATGTGGGGCACGGCCCCCTGGGAACCAAGTTCAGCAGCTAGTGGACCCAACCCTGTAGCAAAGAAAAAACCAAAAAAGATAGCTGAGTCACTGACCACTGGGGACATGCCCAGGCAGAGCCCAGTGACTCCAGGGGCTAACGGGAACAAAATCTGCTCCAATAACTGTAGTATGGGGGCAAGCTGGTCCGAAAAGAAGCCTCAACAGTCAGGTGGAGCCACAGGATACTTTCCTCTCCTTCCTACTCTACTTTCTTAGCAGTGCCAACACCGAAGATGCTGAGCTTGGAGAGGGAAATGGAGGCAGACTGTCTTCCTGACTTATTTTCTCTACTTTTTCTCCACCTCCTTATGGTTTGTGTTGCTAACTGCTCCTGGCCCCACTCACCAGCTAGCTGCTCACTGTCCTGCTTTGCCACAGGTGCCTGCCCCACTGTGACTGGGCTAACCCTACTCTTGCACCCTCCACATTTAGCCTGTAGATTCAGTTCGGTCTCTGCCTCTTGCCTCTTCCACCAAGCAGGTTCCAAGCTCTCTGGTCAGCTGTACCTAGTCTCAACCAAAAGGACCCCAAAGAGTGAATGGAAAAGGTCAAAAGATCAACGTCATCCAGTGACTGGGTGAGAGTGGTCTCCGCGTGGCCTTTTCTAAGGAAATAGCACTCAAAGCTGAGGGCGCCTGGGTGCTAAGGCTGCTACCAAAGTGTTACCCAATGATGCCTCAGGGTTGTACAGCTACTTAGAGTTTACAAAGCAGTATCACACTGTGTTCTCACAGAAACTCCAAGAGCATAGTCACAGATGAGGAAACTGAGATATGGGGTAATGAGTACCAACCGGAACTCAGCAGCTTCTATGTAGTGGAAACCAGGTATAAGCCCAGGCCTTAATGAATCAGGCTTTTCACTCTCCACATCAGACCAAGGTCCGGCAAACGTCAAGAGGGCTGGCAAAGCCCGTATGGAGGCTGCACCACATTTGCAGGTCCTATCTCCTGCTTCCTTCAGTTGCCCTGACCTTTCAGTGCCACCTGGCCTTTGCCTGGAATGTCCTCTCCTACTTTCTCCTGCTTGTCTTCTCTATCTTGCCTCTTTCACAAACCAGCAGAGCCAAAGCCCTCTCTGCCTCCCACACCTGCATGCTAAGACACTGCTTGGCGGTGTTAAGCATGTATGTATTAGCATTGCCCTCACCTCCAGGCTCCTGAAGCACTGTATTCAGCTGTTTGTGAATGAAGGAATGGATGGATGGAGTCTAAAGAGTCAGAACTCAGGTCTTTAGGAGGGAGTTTGCCTCAGAAGAGCAGCCTGTCATCTTGACCACTGGAGGAGCATCTGAGGCCAGGAGAGTGATTTCATTGATATTTGAACCCATCAAGGGCCACACATCCTCCTCATCTTGGCAGTCCCTTGAGGGCATTACTCAGCAAGTCTTCAGCTCCACCCACACTCGTTGGGAAGGGACAGCTCATGGAGTAACCATTCCTGCCTGTCTGTCTCCATCCTTTTGTCTCTGTCTGGAATTTCCCTAGAAGCACCTGCTCTTTCACCGCTGTCCCCACGTCAGTGTCCCCAAGGTGCCTGCCTTTGCTTCTCCTGCAGAACTCCCATAAACCTCAACTATGGATAGAGATGCAACATGCCTAAGCCAGTAATGCATGATGGGTTGAGGCCCTGTGTAAAGCAAATGTCAGCAGCCTTCCCTGTCTAGAGCTGAGATCAGTGCCCCACCTTCCTCTCCATGGAAGCAACCTACCCACCCCACATTTCATCCTGGAATAGAGCCAAAGGATTCCCCAAAGAAGGCTCCCTTGACCTGGAATCGGACCTTCTGGGCTTCAAGGCTGTCTTCTGAGGAACCTCTTCTAGTCCTTACCTGCACAATTGACACCCTACCCAATGGTCCTTCCTTTGAGGAATCCTAGGTCTGTAGCAGAAAGGCCACCAACATTGGTCAATTACTGACACTTCTCTGAGGATCTGGTGACAGCGACAGGGGGGTCTTCTAGAGTGTGCAGGCTACAGGAGGGCTATGGCTTCAAGTGGGGCAAATGGTACCAAGCCGGCTTTAGGATTTTCAAGCAAAGACAGCTGGCTTTGGTCAATTACTGACACTTCTCTGAGGATCTGGTGACAGCGACAGGGGGTTCTTCTGGAGTGTGCAGGCTACAGGAGGGCTATGGCTTCAAGCGGGGCAAATGGTACCAAGCCAGCTTTAGGATTTTCAAGCAAAGACAGCTGGCAGACTATGTCCCATTCACCCCAGAGAGAAAGGAAACACCAGCTTCTATCTCCTATTTCATCCATGTTCTTCCAGTCCTCCTGAGTCACCCCTGGGTGCTAAGGCTTTCAGTAAGAGAGTAAGGGGCATGGGGGACTGGGCATGAGATTATGTGCCCTGGAGATGCTGACCTGGGTCTCAGGTTCATTGTAGAGAAGCACTCCCAAAGGTGTTCCTCTGGGTGCAGGACACAAAGCTGCAGCCTCCCAAAGGCTGAAGCAGTACCCCGCCAGCTCCCTCCCACCCTGCTTTTCCCTGAATCCCAATCCCAGGAAGCAGTGCTGGCACGGGACACGAACCACTGACTCATCAGTGGTGGCGGCAGCCTCTGTAACGGCAATCACACCAGCCCCATGTGTATGTCCCTTGTGCCCTGCTCACTTCTCTAGCCAGTGGGCCTCACTCCAGCTGTGGGAGGATAACTACCATGGCCAGGCCAGAACTATTGCTCCACCGAACACAGATGCACAGGTTGCTCGTCACAGAATTCTTCTACAATGTGATGGACACAGTGTGCACCAACTGGTACCTCCCAGCTGCTCTCCCTGCCTTAATCCTGAAACATAGCCACGGTGCCTCCCCACTCCCCACCCCCTGAAACAGTCTTGTGTTGTGGCCCTAGCTGGACTAGAACCTCAGCAACCTTCCTCCCTTATCCTTTTGGGTATGTAACATCAGGTTGCTTATGGAGTCCATGATCTGTAGTAGTCTGTATTCAGATGGTTGGGATATGATCTACCCCTCTCCTACTTTTTTTCTTCTCTGCCCCCGGAATGCTTATCAGGTCCTGAATGCACTCTGCCCTTGCCCAATCCTATCTGCACTTCCATAATGCATTTCACTCACCCCTGCTCTCTAGGATGTTCCCTCTAAGCTCTCTCTGACCTGTTAGCAAGTCATGTTATTTCCCATGACTTCTCAAAGGGCAAGCCATTCTTGGAAAGGTAGGATACCTGCATCCCAGCGTGATTTCAAGAGTTCAGCAGGTCTTACACTGCAAGATCCAGGCAAGCCACCAGGCCAGCCATTGGTGGCCTGAGTATCGTGGTCTGAGCTTGAAGGGGCAGAGACAGGGCTGTGTTAAGTCTTGAGGCACGAAGGCTGAGCGATGATAGGATGCATGTCTTTGGGATTTTACCTCCACCTCCACCCCATGGAAAGGGTAGAAAGAATTCTGATTTAGCTGCAGTTTTTACCAACGTCTCCCTCCTCAACCATCCCCCACCCTGCCTAGGGTCACAAAGTGGAAGGCTCCTGGAGATTAGCCTGGTAAAGAGACCAATTCTAGGCCCTCCCCCAGGACACTCCAACCACCCCCATCTTCTCCCTATCCTTCTTTCTAGAACAGTCAGGAGACTGGGGCCAAAGGCAGAGGACAAACCCTCTGCATTCCTGTGGCTGGGCTGCCTCTAGGAGTTGTTTAATTTAAGAGGTTAAAAAGCAGCCTAATGGTCCCTAGGGCCAAGAAGTGAGAAAATCACCCAAATGCTAGGAAGAGCAGTTGGGTAGAGCAGGTTCTTTGGCTCCTTTGGCTCCTGACACTGACCTGAATGAGGTCTTCACATCTGTAAACCAGGCTAACAACAATGTCCCCCAAATACCCAGCACACAGCTAGTGAGAGAGGTGTTCAGTGAAAGTCACTTTTAGCATTGAAGACCAGGGCCAGATTGTCCCCTCAGGCTGTAGCCAGCAAGCAATGTTATGTGGTAAGATGACCCCACATACCCACCTCTGGGAGGCTATAGCAGAAGTCAGTGGGTTCCTAGGCTGGTGCTCTCCTCACCCCACTCAGCCTCTGTACCCATCATCAGGCAAAGGAGAGGAAAGATAGCTCACCATGGCCGACCTGAGAATATTCCCCACTGCCCAGATACCCAGACCTCTTGACCCTTGACCTCTGCCCTCCTGCCCCCCATGATCATTGGTTTCCAGAATCTGGTATCTGTCTCTTCTAGTTATGCTTGTCTGCTTCATTTCCTTCTGTCTAGTAAGGCTGCTGCTCATGAGGTGATCTGGGGTGACCAAGGCTGCAAGGGTTCAGTGCCCCTGTGTTCTGGACTCAATTGCAAAGGTCAAAGTTCTCCTAACAGTGTGGGTTCCCCAAACCTGTAGTCTAGGCAGGAACATTGGGGAAGAATTTCTTCTTGAACTGAACTGTGTCTCACTGCTCCCTCCCAATGGCTCCCATGGGCCTTGCTGCAGAGGGAGGCCGATAGGGGGACCACAAAGTTTAACACACAGCAGTTTGGTTCCTGAGGCTTGCTCATCACATAAAAAGATGAATTCAACTCTGTTGTCCCACAGCAATGGTGTCTGTGAAGGGAAGGCATAGCCATCAATCACCCTGCAGAGTGCTGTTTCCAGGCTTCAATTCCTGTGTTCAGAACAGCCCTAAAGAGAGAGCAGAGCCAGGCAAAAAGGGACACAGTGCCCAGGCAGAGGTCACAGGGTGAGGACAACACCACGAGCTTTTGCCCAAAAGGCAGATGATACTATCTTTTCATAACACATTCAGGCTTGTTGGGCTTCTGGCCAGGGTACACCCAGCTCTCAGCCTTCTCCACAGGCCCTGCAGACTCACTCACTGCCTCCCTGGCTTTGACCCTTTCTGGTGAAAGAGAGCTTTGACAGCAGGACAGCAGGATGGTGGCAGCAGCCCCAGGCAGGGCTCACACCTGGAGTTCTTATCTCTGGGGACAGGTAAGGTGGATGTAGATCATTTCTGACCTCCCCCAGGGTCTCCTCAGGCTTTCTGAGACCTGGTTGGGGCTGGGGCTGGAAGCTGAAACCACCCTGGCCCTCAGGATACCCAGACCTACTGATCTCGACTATTTGAAGGCAGAGTCAGACCATGCTCAAAGCCTGGAATACCTCAACCAGAGATGGTGTCGAGGGTGGGCTCTTATGGAGGATGGAGACCACAGGCATTCTCTCTCACCCGCAGCACTCAGGATGGTTTTTAAGTATGCTATTTTTGCTGTGGTTTAGGGCCTTGGGGGTGGGAGAGGCAGGGGCATGAGCCTGTCCAGACCAGAGTTGTCCCCTGACAACCAGTCCTTCACAGGTTTCCCTTCCTTTCTGAAGGCTCCCAGCCCGTCATCCAGGGGCCAGGGCCCTCATTGGTAAGCCCTTTGGGGCCGCCCTTTGGGGCCGCCCTTTGGGGCCAAAGAGGGCCTTCCCGAAGTGAGCCCTTCAGTCTCTGGGAGAAGTGTATGGTTTTTAACCCTCTTTCACTGTCAAGGGCTAGCAAGCTGGCAAGACCACAGAGCTGTCAGAGCTGGAGTTCACCTCCCTGCACAGAGGAAACTCAGCAAACCGCCTTTCCTGTGTTCTTGGAACAAGCTCCAAACTCCCTTCACCTCAGGCAGAACTCACTTCACCATGCCAGCCTGCAAATGCAGAGAGAACAAGGGCACTTTTGCTCCTCACCCATGGCCTGGGGGTGCTCTTCCTCCCTCTGTTGCACCCCCTCTCTAGGGAAAGCAGAAAAGCTCTTCAGCTACCTCATTCTCAGCACCTGTGCTACCCTGAGGTACATACAGCTACTGACCTTGCCTACCTGTGATGGATGGACCTAGGCTTTCAGACCTGGGGACTTCATTTGTCTGTTCCCCCTGACAGCCTAGAGTCATGGCAGAAACTGAAGAATCCTTCTGCAGCTCACTCAGACAGACTTGTAAAAGCCTTGACAGTAAGAGGAGGAGGAGGGACTGAGGTTGGGTGTGTACTTCTAGGGGAGCTTTCAGGCTCCCACAACCCTGACTACAAGTTGGGCTGTAAGGCCCATGCACTAACACAGCCAAGTCTCAGCTGGGTACCTGACCTTGGATAGAGAAAAAGCCCCCCCAGCACCTACTACAAGTCATCACATAGTGCTTGGGGTAAGAACACAGACCCTGGAGCCCTACAGTCTGGGTTCAAATCCCAGCTCAGCTACTTGGCAGCTGTGCCTTTGAGCAAGTTCTTGACCTCTGTGCCTCAGGTATCTATAAAATGAAGGCAGTAGGCCAGGAACAATGGTTCATTCCTGTTAACTCAGCACTCAGGAGACTGAAGCAGGAGGATCA